TTCCAGTTGTCCATAACTATCAGCGCTAATTACTGTAACGTGTTGGCTTCCAGTTGTCCATAACTATCAGTGCTAATTACTGTAACGTGTTGGCTTCCAGATGTCCATAACTATCAGCGCTAATTACTGTAACGTGTTGGCTTCCAGTTGTCCATAACTATCAGCGGTAATTACTGTAACGTGTTGGCTTCCAGTTGTCCATAACTATCAGCGCTAATTACTGTAACGTGTTGGCTTCCAGTTGTCCATAACTATCAGGGCTAATTACTGTAACGTGTTGGCTTCCAGTTGTCCATAACTATCAGGGCTAATTACTGTAACGTGTTGGCTTCCAGATGTCCATAACTATCAGCGCTAATTACTGTAACGTGTTGGCTTCCAGTTGTCCATAACTATCAGGGATAATTACTGTAACGTGTTGGCTTCCAGTTGTCCATAACTATCAGGGCTAATTACTGTAACGTGTTGGCTTCCAGTTGTCCATAACTATCAGCGCTAATTACTGTAACGTGTTGGCTTCCAGTTGTCCATAACTATCAGGGCTAATTACTGTAACGTGTTGGCTTCCAGTTGTCCATAACTATCAGGGCTAATTACTGTAACGTGTTGGCTTCCAGTTGTCCATAACTATCAGCGCTAATTACTGTAACGTGTTGGCTTCCAGTTGTCCATAACTATCAGCGCTAATTACTGTAACGTGTTGGCTTCCAGTTGTCCATAACTATCAGCGCTAATTACTGTAACGTGTTGGCTTCCAGATGTCCATAACTATCAGCGCTAATTACTGTAACGTGTTGGCTTCCAGTTGTCCATAATTATCAGGGCTAATTACTGTAACGTGTTGGCTTCCAGTTGTCCATAACTATCAGCGCTAATTACTGTAACGTGTTGGCTTCCAGTTGTCCATAACTATCAGCGCTAATTACTGTAACGTGTTGGCTTCCAGTTGTCCATAACTATCAGCGCTAATTACTGTAACGTGTTGGCTTCCAGTTGTCCATAACTATCAGCGCTAATTACTGTAACGTGTTGGCTTCCAGTTGTCCATAACTATCAGCGCTAATTACTGTAACGTGTTGGCTTCCAGTTGTCCATAACTATCAGCGCTAATTACTGTAACGTGTTGGCTTCCAGATGTCCATAACTATCATCGCTAATTACTGTAACGTGTTGGCTTCCAGTTGTCCATAACTATCAGCGCTAATTACTGTAACGTGTTGGCTTCCAGTTGTCCATAACTATCAGCGCTAATTACTGTAAAGTGTTGGCTTCCAGTTGTCCATAACTATCAGGGCTAATTACTGTAACGTGTTGGCTTCCAGTTGTCCATAACTATCAGGGCTAATTACTGTAACGTGTTGGCTTCCAGTTGTCCATAACTATCAGGGCTAATTACTGTAACGTGTTGGCTTCCAGTTGTCCATAACTATCAGGGCTAATTACTGTAACGTGTTTGCTTCCAGTTGTTCATAACTATCAGGGCTAATTACTGTAACGTGTTGGCTTCCAGTTGTCCATAACTATCAGGGCTTATTACTGTAACGTGTTGGCGTCCAGTTGTCCATAACCATCAGGGCTAATTACTGTAACGTGTTGGCTTCCAGTTGTCCATAACTATCAGCGCTAATTACTGTAACGTGTTGGCTTCCAGTTGTCCATAACTATCAGGGCTTATTACTGTAACGTGTTGGCTTCCAGTTGTCCATAACTATCAGGGCTAATTACTGTAACGTGTTGGCTTCCAGTTGTCCATAACTATCAGGGCTTATTACTGTAACGTGTTGGCTTCCAGTTGTCCATAACTATCAGGGCTAATTACTGTAACAGTTGTCCATAACTATCAGGGCTAATTACTGTAACGTGTTGGCTTCCAGTTGTCCATAACTATCAGGGCTTATTACTGTAACGTGTTGGCTTCCAGTTGTCCATAACTATCAGGGCTAATTACTGTAACGTGTTGGCTTCCAGTTGTCCATAACTATCAGGGCTAATTACTGTAACGTGTTGGCTTCCAGTTGTTCATAACTATCAGGGCTAATTACTGTAACGTGTTGGCTTCCAGTTGTCCATAACTATCAGGGCTTATTACTGTAACGTGTTGGCGTCCAGTTGTCCATAACCATCAGGGCTAATTACTGTAACGTGTTGGCTTCCAGTTGTCCATAACTATCAGGGCTAATTACTGTAACGTGTTGGCTTCCAGTTGTCCATAACTATCAGCGCTAATTACTGTAACGTGTTGGCTTCCAGATGTCCATAACTATCATCGCTAATTACTGTAACGTGTTGGCTTCCAGTTGTCCATAACTATCAGCGCTAATTACTGTAACGTGTTGGCTTCCAGTTGTCCATAACTATCAGCGCTAATTACTGTAACGTGTTGGCTTCCAGTTGTCCATAACTATCAGCGCTAATTACTGTAACGTGTTGGCTTCCAGTTGTCCATAACTATCAGGGCTAATTACTGTAACGTGTTGGCTTCCAGTTGTCCATAACTATCAGCGCTAATTACTGTAACGTGTTGGCTTCCAGATGTCCATAACTATCAGCGCTAATTACTGTAACGTGTTGGCTTCCAGTTGTCCATAACTATCAGCGCTAATTACTGTAACGTGTTGGCTTCCAGTTGTCCATAACTATCAGCGCTAATTACTGTAACGTGTTGGCTTCCAGTTGTCCATAACTATCGGTGCTATTATTGATTTTCAAAAGGCCTTCGATGCAGTCAATAGATCAGTCCTTAAAATTTCAAGCAACTAGGTATAATACTTTTCATGAAGAATAAACTTGAAATTATTGATCGTGGAAATTGGTATAATCAATAGTGGAACGATTCCAGTCTCACAAATGGTAACAAACTTAGAACATATAGGTTATTTAAGACTACACTAAATGTTTCTCATTATGTACTTTGTTGGTTAAATTAAGATGTGGCACTCTACCTTTTGAAATAGAATAAGGCTGCTTTTCTTGTCCAAAAAATCTCTTAGAAAACAGAATATGTAAATTCTGTACCCCCTCTGCTATGAAGGATGAAGTGCATTTTCTGTCCTCATGTGAGCATTATGCTGACATGAGGCAACCTTTATTTGACCTTGTTATGCATATGAACCCGCTATTCACACTAACGTTAGCCATTCACCAATTTACATTTATTATGTCAAATAAAGAATTATGCCATCATTTAGCCACATATGTTTAATTTTCATATAAACGAAACAGAAAACAGTACAACTAAATTATGATAATATGACATTTGTAATTTTCCTTAAACCTAATAACTAATATTCACATCTTCAAGGAGGGTACTGAATGTTTTTGTTCTGTTATTTTAATTAATGCCTTTTATGAAAAACAGAAATAGTGTTCCAAAATAAAAAGGGTTTTATCATTATTTGCCATGTCTCATAAGCCAGTAATTGCTGGGAATTGTTTTTATGTTGTGTTTTATATATTGGTTTATTTTTAATGTACACTTTGTGATATATCTTATCTTATCTCTGTCATCTTCTAATGATTCTTGTTTTTGTGTGATGTGACAAGAATTTTAGCGATGATGTAATTGAGTTAATATTCTTAGAATTCTACACAATGTAGCTATTGTTTGAATTTGGCATTTATGCTCAGCCATTTCTACATGTGTGATTATGACATTTTATATGCAGCTTGTATGTGTTATGCAGAATAACATTTAGGTTTTGGGCATATTTTAATATTTGATTAATCTATGACCTTTGCCTTTACATACCCCTGTTTATCTTGTGTTATTGCATTCTTTTACATTTCTCACATATGACACAACTAATTGGTAAACATATCACATCAGCTGTCTGTTTATTCAGTTTCCGGAGCATAACTTCAAAACCTTTAAATATTTCAATTTGAAACTTGCTACCTAGATCATTCTAGTGGTGATCTGGTTCCTTTTGATGATTTTAGATTTATATTTTTCTATTTTATCTTTTTTTTTCATGAAGATAAGCTGGACTTAAACTGAAAATAAGGGTAGTGCTCGTTTCCGGAGCAGAGCTCCAAAACCGCTTTATATTTCTTGATGAAACATTCTATACGGAAATGATGATTTTGGATATTGAAAATTACTGAACAGCATTGTTTTATTCTTCACTGAATTGAAGGTATCCAATGGCAGTGAACCAAAAGTGGGGTATAAGTAGCCAAACTTCATATCCAAATTGCACCAGACTGGTAGATATTTCATCACCTGATGACTCTTGTTTAAATATATATATCAATAAGTGAGTGAACATATTAGGCATCAGTATGATTTGGGTTATAAAAGGAAATTGCGACAAGAAACGGTATTCCTCTACGGCATATACATCGGTTGATGTTTTGGTTTTGCTGGATTGAAGTTCACAATTAAGACCAGACGTCAAACTTCCATTCATTGGAAATGTTCGCAAAGGGGACGTTAAGCCACCATTAACACAATAATATCCATATCATAAGGCTGATGAATCATTAATCACCTTTGATAAGTTCCTGATGAACTATGAGCAACAAATCATTCAAACCTGAAGAGACTTGAACGTGGCCATGCTAATCTGTCCAAATTCAATGAGATACTGCAGAACAATACTGAGACCACAACCATCCACCTTCGATCAGGTAGCCTGATGCCTCCGAAGAAGAAGTATCGAAACCTAGACCGAAGAGAAATCTTCTTGCCAGCTAGACATGATCACAATTCCGTTTCATATCTACATGTAGTTGGACTGTCAATTATGTTCATGTACATGTTAGATTAAAACTGGACAAACAGTCTCTTTTAACTGGGGACATTTTGTAAAATTGTGAAATAATTACTTTGACAGTCTCACCTGCAAACAAGACAAGCTCATTTTTTCTTCCAAAGGATCGTTCCATTCAGTCACTGTGTACAGTTAACACCAAACAGCTTCAAATGTCCAACAAATATATCTTTCAACAGCTAATATAATTGTTTTCCAATGTCAATAATCAGTGTGTTGATATTTCAGATAAGCTGGCTCCCACCTTCCTGCAGCTGGAGAAGTTAAGACTCCACAGAAGTCCTTTCGTCATCATTTCTGTGATCGGGCAAGAACTCTTGGCAGCCGGAAACTATGAGTCTTCTTTATTGATGCTAGAATCAGCCTTGCACATTGGAACATGCAGTCTCAAATTGAAAGGTTCAGTGTTCTCAGCACTGAGCAGTGCATACTGGGCAATGAACAACATGGACAAGGCCATCTACCATATGCAACAAGACCTGGCTGTATCAAAGTCTTTAGGTAGGATATATTGTTTGTATCTTGCTTTAAAATCAAACCTTTTAGCTATTAGCTTGTTATTGTCATTTTCTAACACATGTAATATTTAGGATTTCACTTTCTTAGTAAAGTAGAAATTCTGGTACTTCTTTGGTTGGAGCCCCATCAGAGGTTTGAACCCACACTCTTTTTGACAACCTGACTTTGTGTCCTGGCGATCAGGTGGCTTACTCTGAGAGTGTGATTTTGAATCCTGGATGGGACAGATGTTAGATTTGACAACTTTCTGAAAAGCTTTGTCTATTCAATTTCTAACATTATGTTTCAATTTTTTACTGACATTTTGACATTTGTTAAAGCCCCACCCTGACTATAAATAACCAGTAAGGTGACGGTGTTTCAGTTTCAAACAGTGACTGGCAACGTAAACACATACAAGTGTCGAGAGAAGCTTTTTGAGAACTGTACATAAACAAGATCACCAAAGACCTTTTTATCAACTTGAATGACAAGCTTTGGATACCACACATGGCTCCATATCTTGATATAACTCAATAAATCTTCTGTAGGTTTTATCATAAAAAAATCAAATCGGTCGTGTTTGAGCATCTGCATCAATCATAGTGGATGGAGCTTATTTAGGGTTGTACTATAAATAGCAAAGTTCATGGTTGTGTACATGTTACACATCTGATGCATTTGTAGTCAAATTGGATTGTGGTGTATATATTATACGTCAGAACAGCAACACAACAACAATTTCACAAGAATAACAATTTAAACTGATATAAGGTTAAGATAAGGGATCTCTGTTTATTTTTCGGATCTGGTAGGAGTCTTGCCCAAAAATACTTAATTAAGTTCATATTTTATCTCACTCTAAGCAATTCATCCTTTCTTTGATCCCGGTATAGAAAAATTCTTAAAACAGGTTTCCACCTTCAAAACATATCTCACACAAACATATCCCTGTCGTTACCATGGTCACCCCACAAACAATGGGTCGAACTCTTCCTGAATCCTGTGCGACCTGATCACATTACATATCCAGCACACTTATTCTCTTTCTAATCATCTTGGTGTTTGAATTATAGAGCCCCGTGAAGATCCGTTTAGAATTGGTTTTCAGCAACCCATGCTTGTCGTAAGAGGCAACTAACGGTCGGGTGGTCAGGCTCGCTGACTTGGTTGATGCATGTCATCGTATCTCAATTGCGTGGATCGATGCTCATGATATCTAGCACTGGATTGTCGGTCCAGACTCGATTATTTAATACCCGATACCATATAGCTGGAATATTGCTGAGTGCAGCATTAAACAACAAGGAAACAAATAATTATAGAGAATTATATACTCACTGCCAAAAGAAACGCGGACCATAATATATAGAGAAGTATATATGTTTAGAGATGTTTCCAATGTGCACTAATAAATGACAAAACTAACAATCAGTCAAGTATTACAACAGAGTGTCTTTATTGTTATCACGATATACTGCACATGATTTCCAAATTTAAACGCTAATCCTGCTAGTCATAGATCTATGACGTCACATGTGACGTGTTCATGAGCGTTGGTTCACACAACACACAAGTAGCTATATCTTATATCTCTTAAATATGAGTAGTTCTTCATATATTAACCAACATTTAAACCATGGCTCCTTTGTCTTTCACCGTGGTCTAACTGACTTGTTACGTGGAGAGAAAAAGAAGTTCCACCATTGCTAAGTGCTCTTTATCATTTATCTTGATGATAAATTTCATGAATTTTTGTTGTTGTCACCAGCAAGATTCAAATCCACGAAGTCTGCACGGAAGGTTAATGAATGTAGTTTCTTGCCATGGTGACATGGGAGAAACTGTATGAAACATTCGTGACCAACTCCGGGACAAGCCGAATAGCGACTCGAGCCCCTCTCAAGGCCATTTATGCGACCGGGTTCCGTCTTAGCGCAAACGGGCATATCTGAAACAATTGTCAATTTGTTGCGCTCATGGTTCACATATATTGCTCCATATATAATATATATTTGAAACTTGAAGTACTTGAAATCATACGGGCATTCTGATTGGTTTGTCGTATTTTCGCACATAACATTCATCGATAGGGGGACGAGTCTTCTTGCAGGTTATGGAAAGGGGCGAGTGGTGACGAATGTGTATGAAATTAACTCCTACATATTTACTTACATCAGGACTAATGGCTTATCCATATATGAACTGTGATATATGTTTTATGCATTTTTATACAGTATGTTACTCTAAGTATTCTAGTATCTGTGCATTACTTGTGATTTGGTAGCTTTTCCTTCAATGAATGAACAGATAGAAAAGAAATTACTATTGATCTTGATCATGGCTAAGTTTGCTCATAATAGGCCCATCAACATGGGCAAGTAATATTTAGGTGACTGATTAATGTGCTCGAGTTGGTCGAAAATGAATTGTATACTTGCCCTGGGACATGCATTTCATAACCCATTTAAGCAAAGTGCAAGGTGCACGTGCTTTACGACCATACAACATTTAGGATGGAGATTGTTGTAATTGCCCACGTTCATTGCTCCTATCTGTTTGGAGACGTTACAACAGCCAAGATTGACTTCATTTGCGTTCTCTCAGTTTGATATTTAAGCTGTGCTACAGATCATGTCTACCGCAATTAGTGTACATTGACACGTGATGGATTTTTGTGTGTGGAGCTTCGACCACGTGTTCGGCAAGAATGCAATATTTGATGTTCGTGTGCAATGTTGATTTACATATTATGTGTTAATACTTCTCTGATTTGTAAACAAACCTGATTATGCTGGATTCAAAACAAACTGAACTAATGTGAGCTGTTCGGTGCTCTTTACTATTTGGTTGGTTAGCAGGATTAATTATACATACTGCTGTAGCCGCTATGGCCATGCACCTGATGATATCAAGTTATACATCTAAGGATAGTGAGTTGGTGCATTTGAACACATTATATGTGCCCATTGATCTCTACATTCCTTCAATGTGCAGTTTCTTTAGCGAAATTCCTATTGCCACTACGAATGATGATCCTGTTCTTTGAACTGGTAAACAAATTTCACATTCAGTTCAAACTGGCAACGCAGATGCACTATCACAACTGGATCAACTTTCACTGAGAGAGTGGCAGCTTATTCTGGAGATATTTCAGTGGTTCTGCCAGCTCTACTGGATGCCAGAAGTTGGTCGATTTTGCAACCAGATACAGCTACTTCAGCCACACTTCAGGTGGCTATATCTGTCATTGACACACTTCATCTCTGTGTTTGTCACATCTTCAGAAATCTCTAATATCTAAAGAATATTCTCAAAGACTGGCTCGGACAACCATACAATATATACAGATTTATTTACATGAACATCATATATATAAGTACAGTAGAACATGGATATAATGAACTACAAGGGACCAGAGAAATCAGTTTGTTATATCCGTTGTTCGTTATACACGTTTTCGCTCAGAAACATCCGCCATCTTGGATAAGACAAAACACAATACACGTAATTGCAGTGTTACACGTGAAATCTTCATGGCCTAAATTCACTGCAAGTTCGTCAGCTTTGGTCTTCTTTTTTTTCGTGTCTAAACTGATAGCTTTCCTCTTATTATTGCCCTTCATGATAACATATGCAAGTGAACTGACACTTGGACACAATCTCGTAAATTGTACATGTTTAATGTTTGTTTTACAGACAAGATTACATGTACAGGTAAGATTAACATAATGCAAATTTAACAAGGTTTATCCGTCACCGCTGATTGTATTGATTCGCCGCCATTGTGTTGATTCGCCATTGATTGCGTACAGCCAATTGTCAGTGACACTTGACACTGAGTGAGATTTCTCAGTTCGCTATACATGTCACTAATTAGTGATAGATGGGCTTGTCGGTGATCAGATATCAGTTCGCTTTAGAGAGTTTGTTATATACGTAAATTTTATATGATATTATATAGGAGATTTTTTAACAGTTTGTTGTATCCGTTAGATGAACTTACACCATCTGGATTTGCACTACTTTGTAGAAGTGAGTTAAGAGGCAGGGATTATTTGGCATTATCTTTGACATACCTGCAATAGAAATTGCATAGGCCGAGAAATGAACAAACATCTTTTTGTGATCTAGGTACTGGAAAGCTTTTTACTGCCTCTATCTTACAGTTGTCTACTTGCACACCATTCTTGGAGAGAACATGTCCTAAATAGAGTACCTTTTCAGTAGCAGATTGCATTTTGATGGTTTTAGAGTAAGACTGGCCTCTCGTAGAAGCTGGAACAATTGCTGTAGATGTGCAAGGTGGTCATCAAAAGATTTGCTAAACTAGATAATATCATTAATATAAACTAGGGCTGTTTTCCAGAGTATTTTGCGAAGGACTTCTGTCATTAGTTGCTGAAAACACATTGGCGAGGTTTGATAAACCCTGTGGTAACCGCTTGAACTCGTACAACCCTTGGTGAGTGATGAAAGCAGTCTTGTGCTTAGAATCTTCATGTAAAGGAATTTGAAAAAAAACATTTGTAGTAAAGATGTTTGCCTTGGCATCAGCGATACTGTCTATGACATCTTCAAGAACTGGTAGAGGCCATGACATCAGGACCGTGACAGAATTTAGTTTGTGATAATCACAAACAAACCTGAAAGAGCCATCGCGTTTCTTAACGAGAATAATTGGTGCAGCGTACTGAGACTTAGATTCTTCGATCAAATCATTGTCTAAGAACTCTCGAATTAACTGTTCGGTTGCCTTTCTGTTATAGGCGACTGACGATATGGCCGACATTTGACTGGTGGTGTTTCACCTGTTTCAATGTGATGATAATGAAGATTTGTCTCACCTAGTTCCGTCAATCTTTGGCAAACACATCGCGGTGTTGACCGAGGAACTGCAACAATCTTTGTTTTTGGTCTGGTGTGAGATCTGCTTGGGATAGGTCAAAACCAAGGTCCAGGGCAATCCTGACATAATCAGTTGTCATCTGTGGTGACTGTGT